TAAAAATAATTCATACTTATAGAATATCATTTAAAGAAATGATAAAGTTCAAGAGTTAGAAGATAAAATGGTTCAAGGTAGGTATGAAATTTTTATTTAAAAAAAAAACATGATTTATTTGTATATAATGAATATTAATAGATTTAAGTAATGAAATAAATAATACAACAGCTGATGAAATAAAACTATTAGAACAACGATTAAATGAAATTAGTTTACGTAGTGAAACGAAAAGAAACTTATGTTTGTTACGATTATTTTGATAATTTATGGGAATACGTATGCAATCAAAGAACGAGATGAGTAGTATTTTCTTTTTTTCTCTTTCCTATCGGCTATATTGCTCCATTTGTCTTCTGAAGAACGAAAACGTCTTCATACACGTTGTTTTCATCTAACTGAGTATTTTATTGCATACCAGTATGTTTTCTTTTTGCATTGGCCCAACGCTATAAACATGATGTTGCTCGAAGCAAGCAAACACAGTCTAATAATTACATTCTTGTTTGTTCTTGACAACTATTCGAGTTCGATTGAAAATTAAAAACAGAAACTATGCTAGTGCCGAATGATGATTAGAAAATATTGACAAAAATTAAGTTTGAGTTAATTGTATACAAATGAATTGTGTGAGCAATATATATGACTTTGTACAGTCATTTTTTTAGTGGAATTGCAAAACATCGAAAGACTAAATGTCGCAAATTATAAACTTTTCAGTCACAATAGCCGAGTTTTTTCTCAAGTTTTTCACGAATAAATCATAAAAGGACAACGAATGCGTTGTCTGATAGTGTCAATGAGAATGTAATCTATACTTTCTACTTTATTCGTAACACTCGAATATAAATTATTTTCAATATTTTACTTTTCGACATTTCGTCTTTGAATGTTTGACCACATAACCAAATATTTTTTCAATTATAGTAGGCAGATTTCTATGTTAACATACAGACGATACATTGACGTGGAATTTTATAGAGAATGGATTAATTACTATACATCTTTGGTTTAAAGAAAGCCGTATTTTTTTCTATCCTTCTCATAACAAAGTTTGTTAATCTACCAATTCTGTTGGTCAAGGCCTAACATTGACTAAGAACAAGCTTTCAAGAAGATTTCGTCTGATTGTTTCACCACTCGTCCAGGCAGTTCAATTCAATTCTAACTGCGTTTCGATCACTCACGTTCGTTTCTCTACGTTGAAATATTTTGTTGAAAGAAAACTGTTTTACAAGCCATTAGAGAATGAGGTGTGAGTGTGGTTGTTGGTTAACAGAATGCTAATACTGGATACCGACTATTTCTCTCCAGCATCTATGCCGTTAATGTGTATCACTAACTACCATCAATATTTTTTATCTGCGTGGACAAAAATCATTCACCTGGAACGCTCATATTTTGTCTCCATATGAGGTAAAATGGCGACGCACATGTTTCGAGAAGGTAGCTCGTCAATTTTGTAACGGTATAAAACATAAGCAATGCTGAGCGAAAGTAAAAAATCAATACAAGTTCCACATTTTTTTTTCTATGTAATTAGCGAAATGTGACATTTCGACTAGTCAGAGTTGCATATCTATTACACTATAAAACATCGATGTACATGTATCAGACGATCAGAGACCTTCACTAGTCAATCAAACAGCACATTTGACTCGTTATCAAAACAGGTACTATCACAGAATATTTCACATAGTGAATATAAAATGGATATACCACAAGACATAAATCTAACTGAAATATCTAAAAACCAATCGTCGACAACTAATTTCCTCACTCGTACAATGCTTCCAGACCAAGACTCGACTGCAACAGCCACAACATCAAAAAGAGACGACGACAAACCAACACTGTATGAAACTGAACAACAAATGCCGTTCAAATCAACGACAAATGAGCATTCTCCTTGTGAAAAAGGTTCAGTTAAACAAACATCGATAAAACAACACCCACCACTACCACTAGATATCGCATACGAGAACACCAAAACTTTAATTTCCGATGTCCCAAGCACTGATACAGCAGCAGCCAGTAGCTTTATTGAAGAAGATAAAAACTGTCAATTGTCTAGTTCTACTACAGCACCGACCAATAACACCATATTTGGAGAGAATTTACTGCAAACTTTTGTTCTGGTCTGGTTGAACTTGAACATTGACGAAACAGACGATGTTTTTCGTAATTCCATGACACAATTGCGACGTATTGTTAACAGTATCAACACATTTACTGATCCTACGCGATGTATCAATTTTCTTAGCCGAATTAAAGACGCTAAAGTTCTGATGATTGTATCCGGTGCTCAATGTGAAGATATTGTACCTCAAGTCCATGACATGACTCAGCTCGATTCCATTTACTTATTTTCTAGCAACATGATACACTATGAACAATCGGCAAATGGTTGATCGAAAGTGAAGGGAGTATTTACCGATATCGATTCTCTGTGTAGATCACTCAAACACGCCGTAGATCTATTTGAGAACGATTTTGTTTCCATCAGTATCGTATCAGTGGACGCCGCGTCCAAACAAAATATAGATGAGTTAGATGCATCGTTCATGTACACACAGCTACTCAAGGAAATTCTGCTTGAGATTGACTACAACGATCAATCTATTAAAGATTTTGTCGTCTACTGTCGTAAGCTGTACGCTAACGATTCCAAGACATTGGAAACTATTACGATGCTGGAGCGAGAATACTGTTCGGAAACAGCTATCTGGTAGTACACGTACGAGGGCTTTCTTTATCGCATGCTCAACAAGGCTCTGCGCAATCTAGAAATAGACAACTTGATCAAACTTGGCTTTTTCATTCGTGATCTTCATCGGCAGCTCGAAATCGTACACGAGAAACAATTCGGCCTTAAACAGATTAAATCGTTTACTGTGTACCGAGGTCAAAGCGTGTGTAAGGCAGACTTTGAAAAAATTCTTAAAACACCAGATGGACTTATTTCATTTAATAATTTTTTGTCGATCAGTGAAGATGAAAACGTTTCTCTTAACTTTGGGAAAAATGCTCTTACTAGACCTGGATTTGTTGGCATTCTCTTTGAAATGACAATTGACACATCGGTTACATCCTCTCCTTTTTCCCTCCTTGATGAATTCAGCTTTTTCAAAGACTCAGAGAAAAAAATTCTCTTCTCCACACATACGGTTTTTTGAATCAGAGAAATAACACCAATTGTAGCCGGCAATCTGCGATGGCGCATTGTACTCACTTTAACGCACGATAACGTCCCGCATCTTAACACAGTCACTCAATGCATGCGAAATCAGACCGAAGGGTCAACGGGGTGGCATCGACTTGGCATATTATTGGTTAAAGTAGGCGAATACAGTAAGGCCGAAGATGTTTATAAGGTACTGCTTAATCAAACGACACTCGACGAAATTGAGAAAGCGTATCTCAATCATCAACTAGGATGGACGAAACGTAAACAAGGCAATTATGGGGAAGCACTACAATACTATGAAAACGCACGGATGATTCGCGAAAACATACTACCTGCACATCATCCCGCTTTAGTTTTCTCGTACAATCATATTGGTGATGCATTTAAAGGTATGGGCAACTATTCGAAAGCACTGTCTCATTATGAAAAAGCACTTGAAATCTGTGAGAAAACTCATCCTCCAAATAATTCCCAATTGGCTACTTGCAATAACAATATCGGTGATTTGTATAACGATATGACCGAGTACTCGAAAGCACTTTCGTATTATAAAACAGCGCTTGAAATGCGTCAAGAAACTCTTCCTTCTAATCATCCCGATTTGGCCACGTCAAACAATAACAT